TGCACGATGCGATAACTAATGTTAATATTTTACATCGATGGTGTGCATTTGCCAACAATGCGATAGTAGGTGCTTATGGAATCCGTCGAACGAAAGTTTCTGATGCATATTAGGCCAAATAAATTCGAAATAACTTCGCCGTGGATCCACTGAATTACAGATCCCAAGATGAACACTTAATCACCAACCTAATCAAGCCTATGTTTTCATTGTTGCAACCAAAAAATAAGTACATATTCGTTACTCAAATATATTTCTATAATCAACATTTCCCCCCTCCCCCTATATTCGTAAAGTAAAAATAATATTTTCCATATTAAGAATATGTGGTTCTTCAGATCGAAAGAAAAATATTAAAAACTTGACACCATATAGCAGTAGTTCTCGACCGGGGTGACATGTCACCCAAGGGTTGGGGTTGTAAGGGTAACACTAAATCTCCACGGGAGAAGGAAAAAAATAAGAAAATAATAAATTTTAATAAAATCATATTATTATCACAACAGTCATGTAAATAACACACCTTTAAGTTTGTATCTTTATATATATTTATTATTCAGATTCAATAAACACGTGCACTATTATTATTAACGGGAAATTGCTGTATTATTGGTTATTTTATCGACTTAACCGGGGTCGTTAGTCAGTTATTTTACAGTCGCTAGATATGTATTATTATTATAAATATAACAAATATACAAATCATTAAAATTGTTCCTTTCTCTTTTGTTTTTTAATTTGCAAATTTATACTTTATAATATCAATGTTTATTGAACCCTGCAACTCATTAAATTTTAGATGTACTTATTATTTTTTTTTGTTATTTCAAGAATTATTCTAAAATACACAGTTAAGATTATTTATAATTTTTATGTTAGGGTGACGTGAGGTTTGATTCTAGTGGCTTAAGGTGACATGAATGAGAAAAGGATGAGAATCAATGCCATATAGTAATATATGTGTACAAATATAAAAACATTATATAGTTATAAGCTATCTATAGCAGGGGTGGCCAATAGGTCGATCGCGACGCTCTTTTGTATTTTCTTGACATTCTAATTTTTTCAGAAAACAAATAAAATATTAATTTTTTTTTTTTTTTTGTATTTCTGGTAAATATAAAAATTAGATTAGGAAGAAGGCAATAAATAACCATGAAAAACGAGATTATAGAATGATATCGAGTGACTATCGTAGAGTGAGAAATTCGTTGTTTCCTCAACGAACTTGATAGTGCAATGTGTTATCCAGTGATAGTAAATTTTACGGAAAAAATAATCAACTGTAGGGCTAGTAGGGAGGGTCATATGTCCGATATTGTTTTCCACTGTTATTTTTGATTTAAAGTAGATTTAAATCCTGCGTTAATTTTGAAATGCCCTATATTTTTTGTTTATTGACAACCTTTTTTTTTTTAGTCGATCGCGACAACCTAAAAATATCAGAGGTCGATCGAAAATTGGCCACCTCTGCTCTATGGACACATTATGGTTGAGTTCTCTACAAATTTGGCTTAAAAAAATCATTTATTCAAATTTATTCATACGAGTAATACATTTTTGAGCAAAATTCATTGCATTATTTGGTTTTAATATAATACTAATGTTATAAATTCACAGAAGAAACCGTTTTTAATTATGTCAGTTAACACAACGAAAAACCAATAACTTATGGTTCTTCGGTAGAAATCTATGTTTGTAATTACATAAGCATGTAGAAGACCAACATCAAAACGGACTGAACGAAAATGCCTTATTTTTATCGGTCTCTTCAGTGTCGTTATAAACGGTTAAACAATACAAGAACTGCTATTAGAAAAAAAATCAAAAGTTCGAATTGCATTGTCAAATAAGAAAAAGTAATAAAATAGCAAAATTTTAAGAATAACGAATTTCGTACGATTAAAAGTGCTATAAAGAAGTATAGATAACTATAAACCATTGCAGATATCAATCTTATTTGTGTTGGGAATAACTGTCCCGAATTATTTTCTTTTTCTTTTTTCTTTAATAAATTCGATTATATTAATGATATTGGAAAAAATGTATATTATAAAATAATAATAATAAAATAATGATTACCAATTCGTAGTATTTGTTTTTGAAATCATTTAAGTCTTTTTTTGCTCTCTCCAAGTCAAACATGTACTTTTTAGCGGTTTGACGACAGATAATTAACTCTCCAGATAAACTCTAATTATGTAGGCATTTTGTTTTATATGAAAAAAATAATAATTAGTCCATAGGTAATATCGAATCACTTTACTTAAATCAACGTTACCCTCATCTTGTCTTCTTTTTTCATTAGAGTCCTTTTGATATTGTTCATCTCCTTAAAGATATCTTTGCCCGGTAGCTTAACAAATTCGTCTTTCAGTTTTTCGTACCTATTTTGCATCTCTTGAACTTGTAAATCCTTGTCAAATAATCTGGTACATTGTTCGAGTAAACGTTTTTGAAGGATTTTCACTTTGACAGTCATCTCATAAGCCGGTGGATCAGTGTTCTGGATGATAATAATATTAATGTTTATCGTTATAGCTGAAATTATTTAACACGATGGCATAGCGTATTAGTGGGAATCTCAGAGTTTTTCGACAACAGACGGGAATTTTAAATTAGAACAAAGTATTATACCTACCAGTCCAGACGGGTTGTTCTGGGAACAACGATCCGCTACTACTTATTTGTTTAACGCTAATGAATATATTTTAAACTATTACGGAAATAGTAAATTAAACTCGTATAGAGACAGTACAAAAACCGGGTGTGCCGCACCCATGGGCCCCAAGGCTTACGTACATTTTGGGGGACCTCCTAGTCCTAGCCTAAAATAAACTACACTTTATAAATACACAATTATTTGATAATATCATATTATTATATTATTATAAAAATAAACTTTTTTTAAAATTCAGGTAAGGATGTTATAACATTTTAAAGTAATATAATATTTATATGACATTGAGTCCATTGAGTATTTGAGTAGGCATACAACATACCTACCAAAACTACTTAAATACATTTACTACATAAATATGTAGTGAAGTATAATATACAACAATTGTAGGTACCTATTTAATTTGATATATATATACAGTAATCCCTCGTTATCCGCAGAGGTTATGTTCCAGCAAACCTGCATGGATAGCGAATCCGCGGATAACGAGACCATAAATCAATGTAAAAAGGGAGGTTAGGTTAAATTTTTTTTAATTTTAAAAATTAATTATTAATTAATTAATAATTTTTAATTCCTACAACTAATTTATTTATTATCTATCGTATTTTTTCTTATTTTTTACGTATTTTTCGATCACTAGGTTCATTCATTTTTTACGTTCTAGCAAGTGACGCTACAGTATCACCACTTTTTAATTTATTCAAAATTTCAATTTTTTGAATGAGTAATAAAACATTTCTTCTCTTTTTTATTGACATTTTACATTGAGAAGCCATTTAAAAATATTTTCACTACTAAATTTATTAAACACTGCTGTACACGTGTCACGCACAAATATCATCTTACAACTGAGCAATTGACGATTATTAATCGTGCAGGTGTAGATAACCTTTTGTGTTTTATCTGCAATAAGTATAAGTATGTATAATGTATATGTGTTATACCTATAGCGACAAAACAACAATTATCTACAATTATTGTCAAAAATAAATTTCTACAGTGTTCGTGTAATAACGGTAAAACTTTATCGCAATCGCATTAAAAATATGTTATCGTGGACCCAACCGCGGATAACGAGGGATTACTGTATATATTATACACTAACTGATGTGAAACGTGTTTTAAAATCTAAAAAAAATGATACTTATGAATAAGACGTACTACAAAAATAAATCCTAGGAAGATGCCTAATATAATTACCGCACACGGGCCTCTTATTTTGTAGTTGCGGCACTGTATAGAGATGAAAATTAATAGACCTACAGTGAGAGCTGTTCTAAGGATTTTTAGAGCCTAGGGAAAATCGGTTCGGGGACCCCTCATCATCAAAATAATATACGAGTATGATAAAAAAAATATACACCAAGTTTGCAAAATGTTGGTAAATAGAGTTTTTTAAACTTCAAAAGCAAAGTCATTTAACTGCGTCGTTACAATGAAATACATTTTTAATAACTTCTGAACAATGTTTTATTAGTTACCATATTTAATACACATTTAATTTATTTCTAGATATATAATAAACAGCTTCATAAAATAAGAATTTCCATGTTAATCGAATTAAAGATTAGGATTAAATTAATTATGAACAATCTATTATTTTTAAGATTAATTTTAGTTTTATTACTTTATTATGCACTTAAAAATTATTTCATAGTTTAAATCAAAATCTTATTTTTCTAGCTTTTTTTTAGTAAAGATATTTATAACTTCTTCATTATCAATAGTCTTGGCCAACTCATGTTCACCGGGAAGAAATATTAAATAATTCAGACGGCTCTGTTTTATTTTCGAACGTAAATAACTTTTTATTCATTTTAATTTACTATAAGATCGTTCTTCTGTTGATACGTGGGTATGGTAACATGTATTCGAAAATAAATACATAATTTATGTAGTATATTTGGATATAATGATATTATTCTTCACACTTTGGCAATAATCATAACAAATTACAACTATTTAGAAATTAATATAACTGAAATTCTGAAATTGTATATTAGCGCTTAAATATAAATATTAATATAAATTAATATTGTTTAATTAAATTTATTCATATTTTTTAAAGAAAAATTGTTTAGAAATAATATATTAACAGGTTAAGCGCTACGTAGGATCTCTAGATCCTTCATATGACTTGTCAAAATGATTCTTATCAAATTTAGTAAGTTTGTCTAAAAATGTTTTCACATTTCAGCAAGAAGAAAGACAATTATCAATTTTTATCACATATTAACTATTGATTAACTTTCTTACCGGAATTGAATGCACACATAAAAAATATGAAGGATCTTAGAACCCTACATGGCGTTAATGACAAGTGTAGGGTCATTAGATCCTTCATTCAATTTTTAGTGTTATCTTTAATGGGTAACGCCGAGTATTTTTAATCAATCTGGAATTTAAGAGGGGGCCTTTTAAATTAGTTTTTAGCCTAGGGCTAAATGGTCCTATTACCCCTTTCTCTTTGCTATGGTCCTATGTTCAGTATTTGAATGAATAAAATTAATATTATACGTTTCAAATTCTGTGTGAAACATGGAATGTGTTGGTATTATTATGATGAGTTTTTTTTTTTTTTTTTTTTTTTTTTTTACATGATTTTGAACAAAATTAGTAGTCCAACCATTCTCAAATAAAAAATAAAAGGTAGGAAATTAATTTTCTTGATGGTACATTTGGGAAATAATTTATAAATTTCTCAACAGTTCTCTGAATTATTAAAAAAAAAACAAAGTTAAAATGTAAAAAAATTAAATTTTAACCGATAATTGAACCTTAACCACAAATAGTCACGTATTACTTTGTCATGTTTTTTTTATTTATTTTTTTTTGAGACTGTGTACACAACTTGGACCAGAAAAATTGCATAAAAATTCAGCATAACCATAAGGAAATTTTGAGAGGAAATATTGTTTAGTTGGTATTCTGAATTTTGCGAATTTCCAAACAGTTTTTTAATAATTGCAAAAATTATACGAAAAATTATAAAAATATGGCAAAATGTACCTACAGCATTTAAGTTTTTCGACAAAATAGAATTTTTGTTTTTTTGTTACTCAAAAAATAATAACCGTAGAGACAAAAAATTGTCACTGAATGCCTATATCCAGAGCTTGAAATCGATTTCAAATCTTGATTTCTCAAATCAAAATTGAAAAAAATGAATATCGATATTTGAAAACAAAAACCAAATTGCAAAAAATAAATATCAATATTTGAAATCAAAATCGAAACTAAAAAAAACTAATATTATATCACCATTTGCTATAGATGGTATAATTTTCAAAAGATTTTTTTGGAGTTATTTATAGACAATTTTAATGTTCATGTTTTCTTATAATTTTTTGGAAATAGCGATCAATTAATTTAAAAAAAATAGTCTTGAAAAATAATACATAGTTCTTCACAACTTTATATGAGTGATTAAAGAAAACAATTTACGAGCGTTAAATTAAAATTCTTGAAATTTTCAATTTATATTCTTTAAGCTTGAATTTTTGATACATATTTATTCTTATATAATTTTTTTGTAGAAAAAAAATTTAAATTACTGGAAATTAGTAAAAATGATTTATAATCGTTACAAAATTAAATATTGATGTAATTGGTTATTTGAACAAATTTCCAATAAACGATATTAGTTATTTGACACATTTTATAGTTCCTAAATATTTTAATGAAGTTTATGCTGTTTATAGGTACTTGAAATGTTCGATTTACCCAAATTTTAGATGTCTTTTCTCTTTAGAATGTTTAAGTTTTAACCTACCTTATTAAAAAAATTGGCTGTTTTACTATATCAACCATCTTTAGAAATATAAGCTGATTCATCCAACCCTATATCTCGTCCAATCATAGAATTTCACCCAACCTAGAAGTCTCACCTTTATTATTTATTTATTTTTTTCATTAGTCTCAGGAAATCAACAAGATGTCCACTATTTACGCTTTCCCGTGTAATATTTCTAAAATGTAATACAAATAACTATATATGATATATTAAAGAGTCCGAAAAATATAACACTGATCTTGATATCAAGTAAACACCGGACATAAATAAAATTACTATCATGATTTACAAGGATCAATGAATTTAAGGTTTCAACGTTACTTTTTTTTTATGTGAACACTTTTTTTTGTATCAAAATTCAATTTTTGATAAAAAATTGGATATTAATAGTACGTAGAAATAGCTTTTAGATCGGTTATATCCCTTAGTGTGATGTAAATGAGAAACAATGACCTGGAAATATTGATGAAAATATTGAAGTATATTATGTAAGCAAAATTAGGCCTATACAGATTATATACCTTTATATTTCTGAATAAAAAATTGTGTAACATGGTCTTTAAGAATTAATAAATAATTGAAAAACGAAATATTATTTGTATCTTTTACCATGTATTAAAGAGTATACTATATAAAGTTAGTTATCACGGAATAGTGATAACGATTTCGGGTTGTCCGTATCGCTACATGCGTCGGCTTATCGATAGTAAGATATCACCAAGAACAATAAATGTACTCGGACATCTGCTGTACAATATAGTAATGATAATGATAATAATAATTAGAGCGCGGATTTCTATGCAATCGCATATTTTTTTCCTTTCATTATTTTTGGATTTTTGTCAGTTATCTCCACGAATCATCATAATTTGAAGCTAATGGTGAAATTTTTTTTTTGCATATTTCTGCATATTTAGAGGTTATTGCATATTTTTGCATATTTTGACAAAATTCAAAATTTATTGTGTATTGAAGTGAAAATTTAAAAAAAAAATGTATAAAATAATATTTTGTCTAATAGAAAAATTAAAAATAAATTTCATAGTCACTAAATAATAATAATATATATATATATATTTAGTTATAAAAATAAATAATTGATAACGACGTAAACTTAATTGCTCTTGCTGTGTCAATCAATTATCGACATACCACTTGCTTCAAATATGCCCCAATAACTTCGGTTGACATCGAGGGTTCGTTTTCATTCTTTAAAAATATGTTAACCGATAAACGACATAGCTTCACAGAAGATAAACTTGAAATGCATATGATTATTTACTTTAATAATAAATAAAATTTTAAAAATAAATTAAGTTCAGAAAATTCCCTAAATTTTTTTGTATTAAGTATTTAAGTAATTAGTTTTTATAAGTTGAATTATAAATTTTAAATAAATAAAAAATTCTTGCATACTTTTAGCATATTTTCATAATTTTGACTGCATATTTTTTTACATATTTTCATGATTTTGACTGCATATTTTTTGCATATTTTCATGATTTTTACTGCATATTATATGGCATATTTCGATACTTTTAAGTGCATACAAATCCGCGCTCTAATAATAATAATAATAAATAATTCGTTCGCGGACGAATTTTGGATAACGGGATTACTTTTAAAAGTCTCCAGCGGTGTACGTTTGTGGGTTTTAGTAGGATATCTTCCAGAGCTCGACACTTCAAACGTTCCCGATTTAATTTGTGTTCATATTTGAGTACTTCACCTCTTATATCGTTTACTTCCGACAGGTTTTTCGTCAGCAAACCCTTTTGCATGCTACCGGTTACATACGCATTACATCGAATATGTATTTTGTTAAAAATTTAATACTTATATTTAAAATGATTTGTGTATGCACCTCCACATAATTTGTATTTTATAATGTTAAGCATAAGTAGTAAATTTAATTTACTTTAAACTAGTGTTTTCTAAGCAAATTTATTCTATCGTTCAGTAAAACAATATTCAATTAAATTATTTGTATGTAACGAAAAAAAAAAAACTGGTTCATGAGAAACAATATAATTATCTAAAAAAACGTATAACTTTTTTTTCGTATCGTATAAAATAAAAACGGTTATTTTGATTAAGAATCGAATTAAAATCCATGAATAAGTTGAAATCATGACTGTAAAATGATAAATAATTTTCGATGGTTTAAAGTTTTTAATTAGAATCAAAGAAAACGGTAAGTTCGAAGTGGACGACAATGATATTTCGATTCCATAATTCGATCATCGTGTATTATTAATGTTACATTTATCGTCTTTATCGATCACCGTGGGATTAATGTGTGTTACATCGCAATTTTTTTTTAGAAATCATCGTTATTTGAATAGTTCGATTATTGCAATACGTTTCATATTTCGATTTTAAACCCATTAATTAAATTTATTGTACTACACATTTTAACCAATTGCCGTTTAATACAGGTTCTAGGTGTTTGCCCGGTTGTTATAGATTGGTGCCGAAGTAATTAGTTTTCTGTGCGTTTGCACACACATGCATGTGTGTACTGGTATGGACATAACGTATTAATGAAAAATTAATTTACATGTTTGGCATTTATCCAAACCATGAGTATGCACACATTTATAATAATAATAATAATAATAATATATTGTTTTTAACAGATATGATAACTATCGATCACCTCAGACGCTTTACTTCCAATTTCAGCAATCTAATGTCCTCGATCCTTTTGTTGTACTCTGCTTCTCCCTTGCTCAAAGTCGTCCTTAATATGTCATTAACATCTTTCTGTTTTAATAACTCTTCGTTGCGTAAATTCATTTGATTTACGAGTTTGTTTTTGTCTTTGTTGGCCTGCATTAAATGTAAACTTTAACAACGTGAAAATGTATACTATTACCATTCAACTTAATGCAATGAAAAAAATGCACTTATTCATAAATTTCAGTAGGCATATCTCATTCAAAACGAGAAAAAAAATATATAAAACTGGGTTAAAGCCTTTTTCCCTCACTTCATCATTCTGTTTCTGAAGTATCTCAATTTTTTTTTTCAATGTTTTTAATGTTGTGGTTATCGACTTTTCATCTTCATTTTTTTTCTTTAATAAATTTGACATTTCTTCAACTTTGGTCTCGAATTCATCGATTTCCTGTTGACATCTTTGTAGTTCTTTTTCGGTTTGCTTTAATGCTGAAACGTTTAATGTAGTTTTAACAAAAAATTATATTGATAAGATCATTTACTTTCTTCGATGGATTTACCTGTGTCTTTTTTCGTCAACTGCACTTCTTTGTATGCCACATATTCTTTCTGCTGTTCAAGTTGTTGTGAGATCATTTTTATTTTATCTTTCATTTCGTCTTTTTCATCCTAAAAACATTCAGATTAACGAAATGCTCTATTCGACAGTATTTTCAAAACACAAACTTTAACTTCCGACAGATTTTTTGAAAATAGAATTTTTTCCGATTTTACTATATGTAAATCATGATCTTGTTCTTTTATCTTGTCACTCCAATGATTAACTTCTTTTTTTAATTTTTCTATTTCTAAATCTTTGCGGTTCACATTGACTGAGTCTTCGTGCACTTTGTGTCGTAGAGTAACTATTTCATGGTGTAACCTATGTGTATAAAATCAAGTAAGTAAAAACAAAAAACATTTTATTAAATTATTTTATCTTAAGACGCAGAAGTCATTACTTTTCTGTATTTTTTTTAAACATAGTTTTCTCTTGATCTAATTTATCGATATACTTTTGTGCATCGCTAAATTCAGTTTCCAAAACTCGGAACGCTGACTCTTTGATATTCATTTTTTCAGTGTATGAGATTATTTGTTCTACAACAAAATTATATCAGTCTTAATAAAATATGAAAACAAACAAAAAAGTGAGACATGTTATCATTTACCATTGATTTTAATTAGGTTTTTTTCAAGTAACTTCTTTTCCCTTTCTGATAGCTCTAACGCACTTTTAAGTTTATCATTGTCTACTTGTAGCACATTTAAATTTCGTTTCAAAATAGCTATATGATTTTCGGCATCTTTTTTTATTCCCATAATTTTTTCCATCTCCTCCATAGTTTCTTGTCGCTTTCTTACCGATGTTTCGTGGGTTGCAATTAAACGTGTGAGTTCAGACTGAACCCTTAGTAGCTCACTTTCTTGAAACTAATGTTTTAAGTAAAATGATAACAGAGTATAAATTATGTTAACAAGATTAGTTTTTGTACTTAGACTGAGAAAAATAATAATATGATTGACGTACAGATATTTTATCTTGAAGTCTATTTATTTCTTTCATGTTGTCGGCTCTTAGTTCAGTTTTAATTCTTAATTCTCTATTAAGTTTTTTTATCTGTTTGTCGTAAGACGTATTTTTCGTACTCAAATTATTGTTCACTATCTAAAACCGAAAAACGAAGTGATTAATCATAAAAAAATCGTTTGGGGAAAAAAAAATAAATAAAAATTGAACTTTAATATTACTTTTAAGTCTTTTAATGTTTCATTGAGTTTTTCCATATTTGTTTCGGATTTTTTGAAATTGTTCTTAACTATGCCTAATTCGATTTTGATTTTTTCCATTTGATCGTGATCACCTTTTATACGATCCTCCAATTTTTCCTTGGTCTTTATTTCTTTTACAAGGTTATTACTTTGAGCCTTAGAAATAATACGGGAAATAATTAATGATAAAACTAATAATACGGAAGTTGACAACGTTTTCTTACGGCTAAATCAGCTTCAAGATTTCTGACATTATACTCGGCGGCATCCAGTTCTTTTTTTAACGATTCACAGAGATTATCAAGACGCTTGTTTTCAGCGTCTATTCTAGTCAGTTCTCGCTTTGTTCTTGTTAGCTCTAATTGACTCGTATCACCTTGGCCCATTGAAGAAAACCTAAAAAAACAAATCCTAGAAACTTGCAAGGAAAAAAACACAAAAATATTACAAGCTTTCTTCTTCCATTTGTTTGTTTTTTACGTCCAATTCATTTTTTAAAGTCTTTATCTGTGCAAGTAAATTATCATTTGACTCTTGGATGATTTGTTCCCGTAGATTGGAAGCATCCAGCATACAGTGTGCAGAGTTTAATTCCTATTGAAATGTTTACTGAGTATACAGTGTTAGGAGATTGAAAAAAAAATCATCTTCAAAACCTCTTTAAGATTATCCATTGATTTCTGTTCCAACACTATGGATTGTTTTATTTCTGGCATCAATTGTCGATAGTTGTCCATGACTCGTAAGAGCGAGTTCTTATCTTCGATGCATTTTATGGTCCCTTCTCCGAGTTTCCGAACAGCCGCCCACAGATGAGCGAGCGCATCTGTGAGCGGCGGTTCCGTAGCAAACTCAAGAGCCTGAAATGATTAAATGTTATAACACATATCAGTAGTGTGTTTACAGCATGATGTGAGGAGATATTGGTTAATTTACTCCCCTGGGAAGTTTTAAAAATTTGTTTATGCATGAGTTATAAACGTAATTTACATCGATTTTTTTAAATGTATAAGAAAGATTAATACAAATTTTGGATATTATGTACTCTGTATTAAAACGATAGTTCATATATCTAATATAATTTATGGATTAGGTTTGAATGTATAGTTAGGAAATTGTACTTAAAACAGACAAAAACATTATTATTATTGTATTATAATTCGTAACATTTTTTTTTTAATTACGTTCCGAAAAACAGAATTTGTTACATCATTCGATCAAATTTGCAATCAAATTACGAAAATTTATTCACCAAGTAAACTGTAGTGTAATATAATATGAATCCTAGTATAAATATAATTTATATTATAAATGGTAATATTGGTTAACATAGGTAATATTTTCCATATATCATTGACTCCCTAGATAATTTCTAAATACGTCATCTCACATATGTATGTGTGTATGTATGTATTATTAGTGAATATAAAAAAAAATTATACAATTCTATACTCACGTGCTTGTACTCGACTTCGGGTTTCTTGATGTCGATTTCCATTTCACGAATGAATCGCGATATCGGTATAAGGACTTCTTATACCGAGACATTTTAAAGTAGTCAAGGTTACGCGTCGCGTCGGCTTGATCGAATGCTAGGAAAACTTCACGTCATGATGGTAATATTTTATTATATTTTTGTCTTGTGTTATTTCAGTTTATGGCGTGTGACGTACGGGGCTATGCTACTAGCAATATTATCATGTTTCGTAACATTCCGTTTAAAATATCCACTCGTTTCCTATTGCGAATTTATTGTATTATGTTGATATGAAGTGGGGATAGGAGAGGTTGAGGATGAGGGCGAGGCAATGGTGTCGATCGAAATCCTTTGTACTTGGTGCAATTTCATACGTGGATATTTGTATAAGGTCGAATGAATACCTCCGGAAGAACCCAAACAATCTATTTTTCCCTCCAAGAAAATCCTTTTTTATTGTTACAATTTGAAAACGCAATAAAAACACATTTTCGTTAATACTCCTTGTCACGAGTAAGTTGTTTGCTTACTTAGAAAAATGAAATATTTGTACTCTTCAAATTATGACCAACAGTTATAAGATGGTATTTTACATGGTTGGTCGATTTGAATAATCTGATATAAACTTATTTTGAATTTTTAGTACGCGTTTATTCAATACAATAAAATTAACCGGAGCAAATTAAAAAATAATATCATCTTAAAAGTAAGTTATTTGTGTACAAATTATATTGTTCAATTGAACATTACAAAGTTAGGCGAATAAAATGTCCAAAAGACTATTAAAATTGTTCTTAACCTTAATCTTTAGTGAATTTTCAAATGTTGAAACGGGTGTTTCCGTTTCCTAAAGTAGCAATTTATTCCGTACATATTCTTTTCCGTCAAGGTTGATAACGCTTAATTGATCTTACCATTATTGCAGAATTTCAGGATATTATAATTCTAGAATAAATTACATTATATGATGATATCAAATTATATTTAAAAATTTATTTCCATCATATCACAAGAATTATTTTATTGATTTGTTAGGAATAAAATGCGTGTGTAAGACTTCCTACTATTTGAAATAATTAAAATTATAAAAATATAAAAAAAACCAAAAATTCAAAAAAAAAATTCTGAGTTTCAATAATAGTTTGATTTGTCTATAAGCGTATGACTTTCCGTAAATGTTTACTATCAGTACTTTCGTTTCCTCCTCTCATTATATATTAATAATTGTTTTTTAATTACATGTTTATCATTTACGCTATATTACGGGGAGCATTAGAATCACAATGGTTAACGATGAAGTCTATATTTTCAAATAGATCCAAACAGTTTATAGTATTGCATCAGTATATGAATACAAGTATATTTTGTTTTGAAAACAAAATGTCAATCATGGAATAAATTAAATTACTTCTCGTCTCATAAAAAAAAAAAAAAAATACACAATATTGAATTTTACTTTTTATGACGTTAAGATTTTATCCACTCATACTATGGAACTATAATACCACAAGAAAACAATTAAATAAAATAATATAATTTGAAGATTATTTAAAATGCATACATTTTTTCTCCAGGTTATTAAAACAAAAGTAAATTTACAATTCAAGTAACTGTTTATGTTTGTGTTTCAATAATAAATGTAAAACGCAAAATCAATGAAATAATTGAAATAACTGATAGCACCATTGTATTATGTGACGAGACGAACATAATAATAATCCAGTGTAAGTAAAATGGGAACTGATAAAGATCTTATAACTATTGTTTATGTAAACATACGTAAAACACACTCAAGATTCAACTCTCATAGGTACCTAACAAATTTCAAGGTTATTAAATCATATTAATATTTTTGATGACGTGTATAAATAAACATACTCTACAGAGAGTTTTTTTTCTTCAAAACAATTGACAGTAAATTTAAAAATTATATTTTTTATATAAAAAATAATTTTTACGTTTTTAAATCATTTACAAACAAAATATTTGTAAAAAAAAATGTTTTGTTTCTTATCTTAATACCTTTTATAGTTTTTCCAACACATATTTTTGGTTTTATATTCCGGAACTAATCGTTTTTCTGAGAATTCTGATGAATATATATATATATAAACAAATATCGAACAAGTGCTTAATTATTTAAGATCATTAACATATTTAGATGAGTATTACTGGTATCGTATCTTCTACCACTCGATCGAAACTTCAAGTATTTTATAATTAATCGATTAATATAACTTATTGAATAATCGATTTGCATTCGCAGAAAAAAATCTCCATTCACGATAAGATGTTACTCATTAAAATAAAATATCTAAATAATTAAATATCGATATTTTATTTTTATTTTGAATCCTGCGTTTTGATGTATTTCTTCATATATTTTGATCAATAGAAAAATAGAGTATTCACGAAGACGATGAAAAATGTTAGATGGGAAAAATAAAACACTTGATATATTAAAGAGTATTATTCTTTTAAGCATTTTTTAGGCATAAAATACTTAATATTATATTATAATGTAATTGTTTACAATTGTGTTTTGTACTAAAAATAATTATGCTTGGTTTATTTTTTAATGAAAATAATTTGATACTTCACGTTCAAGAACTACGTTTTTCCATGTTCGAATTCGATGTTTAAAAATTGACGTACTCAATCGTATTCATATATTGTATATTTACTGTTGAAAATGTTTCTTCTTTGACTATGAATCTAGGCTGAACACGAGTTGCATAATTTTAAAATGTCAAAAAAAAAAAAACAAAAAATATTTGTTCAATATTTTATACATTTTATAATATGGTATGTTGGAATTGACAATAACGAGACGAATCAAATATGATAAAATCAAAATGCAAAACACAACTTGAAATTTTCCTTAAAAAAAATGTTATCCACCTAATACATAAAAAATATTGGATGTAAATAGAATTGCAGAATAATACACCTGGTTGATTTTCACTCGGAAAACGTGCGTTTTTAAATGATGTTATTTCATGCAAAATTGTGCGAAATCGTACGGTGACCTTTTTTTTTTTTTTTTAATGTAATAACCACCACCGGCTTCGACAAAGTGTTGTTGGTTTTTTTTTTCGTATCAGTATACGTATTGAAAAATGAATTATGTTTATGATGGTTAGTATGTGCTTAATGTTAAGTGCACCGCACAAAATGTATCGTAAAATGCTTCGGGAAATTAAATGATAAATCGTTGGACGATAAACGGAGAACGTATCGAGCACCGTGTGCAGTACGTTTCGCATTACAACAATGAACTCAACACGAATTTTTTGACACGAACAATAACTGAAATCCGGATATTTACTTTGAGATGAAATGGATGACGTTAACGTGGCTCTTTTGCCGGAAGATCATCGTGTGCGTAGAACCTGCGAGTGGAAAAATAAAACACCGTAAAAACGGCATTATCAATTCAACATCAAATGTACGCAGGGGTGCGTAAGCTGAAAATAGAATTGACCGTTTGAACGGTGTTTCAAGTGAATTCTTTCGAGTGTATTCAATTATTTGTATCTAATCATCGGTGAAGCGAAAAAAAAGCTCGAACAACTTCAGCCGGTGAGAATCGATCATTTAACATTTACACCTGTCGGTCGACATTTGAGGGGTCGAAAAAGTTTTTATTTCATTTTATTGATAAGACTAATCGAAAAACTTATTGCGAAATTTATTTTTCCGAGAAAATTTAATAAAATATTTATATTTTATACACAAACCATTTTAACGCGTCAAATCTTCCATCAACTCAAATCGCTATCCTGTTACCACGTTCAATAAATATTCGTCTCGCTGTGTGTGCTAACTGCTGTCGATATTAATCATTGCCAAGTAAATTCAATAAAATTGAAGAGAGGTTCTAAATTTTTCATTTCGTCATTCATACGCCTCTAATTTTTACTAAAAATAAAACCAATCTTTCGATCGATTTGATTTTACCTTTTGACGTTTATCATTTAAATTGTTTGCCGTTATTTTAATTTGTAATAATAAATTCGTTTAATAATCGTAAGGTGTATTCTGGTACGTTTTTTTTGACGTTTTAACTAATTCCAGCACAGAGGTCTGAACAATTTCCATACTTTGGCGTATGGATACCATTTTTTTTAGAAAAATATAATACAAGTATAAAATTAAAATATTGTATAATTATGTAAAACAACTCTAGTGTTCAAAAACATATAAAAAGTTTTAAAAAAAAGTTACCATAAGTGAGATGACATATGTCTCACAGTGCAGCAAGTGGTAGGTTTTATTGAGTATAACAACAAAATATGTAAATCATAATATAAATTATAATAGGATTTATATTTTGTTTCTAAAAAATGTTATTTGATGATGAGAAAAGATATCTTTTCCGTTTTTAATAAAAATACAGATATCTGTATATTTTATATATTTTATCTGTATATTTTAATATTAAAATATATTTAAAAAAATTATAAAATATAATAAAAATTTAAATTTACTTTATTTTAATAAACTTAAATTTTTTTAAAATTAAATATTTTTTCTTTTGTTTTGTCTTAGTTCCTGGTGGTTAACCCCTTTAATTCACCTATTCTGCAACGAATCTTAAAATATTTAAATTATATTGTGTGTATTGGGTTATCAAATGCAACTCTAACGACAAAGGCTCGGACCAGATGAAATAGCGTTTTGAACGTTATTTGCATTTTAATTTGAAATAGCCGAATATCATAGATAAATATTTTAGCTACTTCACCAACATAAATGCTCCTAATCGATCACAAACAATTTAATCTAGTTGCTGTAAATAGGTTTTTGGTGAACAATTGTTCTTCCTTGTTTATTATCTATATACATCTATATATTTTAGTACAACTATTGAGCTAGAAATATATCAGTATATAAGTTACAATAACTTATAGAAAGATCTCTGATAAATGTATAATCAATATTTAATATCCTTTAACTCGTCAATATATTAATTTGTATACACAGAATTGCCCACGAAATTTAACCAAAATGTAAAATAAAAACTAAAAAACCACAGAATTGTCTACGTGGTGCGCCGTAAAATGTGTAAAACGTCTC